GATACCCTATTGAGCGTGGTTTACCCTTTATGGGAAAATATTTTAGGTGCGGGATATACACCGGTGGATGACTCTCATCCCGGGTCTCAAGGGTGAAGAAAAACCAAAATGTGGCTTTTTCTTGTGCTTTTGTAAAACTATTATAGAAGTTTAGTTTTGGGCATGTAAATATATGAAGTTGATTGTAATCGAACTTGTATGGACTATGTTATGTGAAAACTTCATTATACATGTGTTAGGTTGATATATAATGGATTGAAATGGATTGAAAATCGAAAACAGATGAAATAGGCAAAACTGGGCACACATACTGGTAGACCTTTTTGTTTTTATACTGGTAGGTGTGGCCAAGTAGGTAAATTCTACCGGTAGATTTAGCCGGTAGAACTTTTTCAATAGGGTTCTCCTACCGGTAGAACGTTACTATTCCTACCGGTAGAAGAATTCTAGTTGGTCATTTCTACCGGTAAAATAGAGACTTCTTCTACCGGTAGGTTTTCCTAAAACTTTAAATTTTAAGAATGTTTTACTATGCTTCCGAGCTTTGAGTCTTTTTATTCAAATGGTGTAAATGAACAATAATTGAGTATGAATCGATATATATTGGACCTCGGATGGGTCATGTGATTGAAGTGTATACAGGTTGTGCGTTTGGGAGTGTCCGATACAAGGGAGACTCTGCCCAAACTTGGTGTTGTTGTGATCCCGATAAAGGGGATGTTGTGTCATGGTGTCAGGTTATGCGGCATTCACTGGTATTTTTGTGAGTTGATGGGTGATCAACGGGTTGACAAAGGATTTTCGATTTTAGGGGTGTCACATTCACTATGCCTTGACTTGAGAATCGTGAATGTTTCTTGTCTTTAGTAATCGAGACAGTTGTCACTGAAAGTAGCTCGATAACCCTATCTTCCAACCATTTCTTAAAAATGAGCCAAATATTCTCTTCTATGCATGAAAGCTTTGGTGATGGTAGTCATTTTTGGGTTTTGATCCGTTAAGAGTCACAAGGAGTTTGCTGCTAGTTGGTTGTGGAATGTTGACTAACCAGAGAAGTGGAAGTATGGTTAAACAAAGTTGAAAAGTCATCTCTCTACTTACAAAATATATACAACTTCCATCAATTTGTGTATCATAAGATTACATGTGAAGAGGGAGAACATGATTTTCAGGCTACACCGAAAGGATTCTTCGAATGTATCAAATAATTTTTAGGTTTGCGATAATGACCACATGTATGTCAAAAATAATATTTTTAATTCGGTATTACGGGTATGTGAAAGTCATGATTGTTCTAGATCATGTGATTAATATTTGATAGTCTTTCGATCAAATAAAGTTTACAATCTATGGAAAAAAGTGAATACAAAATGGAATAGACCTAGTCGCTAATAAATTGAATATAGAATGAGGTGGACTCAATAATTTTATATTAAGAAGTTCAATGAAATGGAAATGGACATGGTCTTTTTTCTTGTTCTATAAAAAATTTGGACTTAGTAGTTTTTATGATTTATCGCTAATAAAGTGAATATGGGCTCTTTTTTTTGTCATAGTGGAGCATTTTAAGGTGACACTGTTGTTATATTTGAAAACGACCAGAGCTTCCAATTTTGAATTTCAAATATGTTCAATTCCTTAAAATATGAAACCAAAAATATAATAAATTAAATCCAAAAAAAAATAGGACTGCCAAACTAACAGACCCTCAAATAAGAAAAATAATATTTTAATAAAGAAAATGTTTGAAAATCTGTCAATGAGTACCTAACTAAAATACAATTCAAGTCAAAGGTACTTATCTACAAAAGATTTTAGTCAATATATTTTTTTTCACAATTTAGTAATTTAAAATGTACTTGCTCACAATTTTCCATAAAAATATTGGATCAAAATTATCTCATGATTTTAAGCGCTGCTGGAATGGACAGAAAAAAAGCCCATAAAAGATAATAGTAGAGTACCCTACTGGAATTTATTTCAACTATATATTTTATTTTGAATGATTTGTAATTAGTAATTTAAAAATAATAAAATAATAAATAATTACAAAAATTTACATGTGATAAATGTTTAATAGATGAAAAACAAAGATACGATTTCAATTAATTATATTTTCATACCCACATATAAAACCAGCTTTTATGAACACATATTGAATGTAACAGTGATACCACGTCACCATTGATGACATGGTATCACGAATCAATAATAAAACTCCAAATGAATAAGGTGAGAAAGAGTGGAAGTTATTAGCTTATATAGCAAATTGATTATTATTTTTTATGGGGTCCAATTACTCTTTTGTTCTAATATTAGTGAGTAGTGAAACCACATCACATTATCATGTGATATCACCGTTGTGATCGATATTTTTATCAAGCATCAGAAAGATCATGACCCAAGGATAAGGCGTCATCTCAAGCAGGGCTTATGACCTGGCCCCATTTATAATGTGGGTGTTTGAATTTTTTTTAGTCTCATTCCAACCATTTTGATATCGTATCAAAATTTATAAGTAAATAAAATTAAGTATAACCTAATTAGGATCAACTTAAAAATGAAAAAAAAAGTGAGTTGTGATTTAAGAAAGTTAGAATCGATCTTATTATGCCACGATCTATGACAAACCTATCTCATTTTCTTATAATCTCACTAGTTTGAATCGCAAACTCATCTTTATTTTGTATTTACATTTAGTACGATACCAAAGATATCATATTGTGTTATATTTTGGTGTATTAGGGTATTAAAATACTATGTATTGGCTTGAAATGAAATGTCATTATTCAGAATAATAAGTCTACAATTTTCAACATAAAATCTAATCCATGGATATCATTTTGTATGTGTTCTCTATCCTCCATGAACGACCTTCATCTATGCGATTTATCAAACTCAATAATTGAAGGGGTAATTATCTACAATTAAATTATTCGAGTCTGACCAATCTTTTAAAACATGATTTTAACTTGTGCTCGTAGTTTCTGCATACTTATAAGTATCATAAACTTACATTGAAGATATGAGGACTAAGAACATCTTATTTGGACAATTTTTTGTGTTTATTGTATCTTATCTCATCTCCAACTGAAGGACGTCCTCACGCCACAAAAAGAAAAATGAAAAATAAAGAAAAACATGTTGCTATGCCAAGGCCAATATGAAAATTTGACATATTGATTGAATAAAAGAGGATGAGACTACTCTAGGGTTTCCCTTCTTGTGTTCTGCTACTAAAATATACACCTCGGAATGCATTGTTCTTAAAGAAATGTGTTTTCACGTCTTCTTAACCCAAATTGGCTGGGAGATCAAATTATTTTATTTTATTTTTTTAGGATACTCCCTGGATCAAATCCAGTGGAGACAATTTTGATCCTAACAATTAAAGTCGAATACAGTGACAAAAAAAGTAATATTTAAGAAAGCTAAATTTAACTGAAGCAATACACTACTCAAATCTATCTGATTCACTTTTGAGATAATTAGATCAATATTTAAAGGGAAATAATGAGAAGCACATAGGCTCCAACATGAAAGAAATGGACACCCCGCAAAGAAGTAGAAAGCCAAATTAAAAGATAACTTAATGGATAGCGTTAAGAGAAGATGAGGAGTTCTTAAAAAGCCTAAATCTAGAAGCATCCAGAATATTTTTCTTCAGGTTTTATTGGAGTCCCATAAATCTAGAGTTTTTTGTCGACTATTGATCTTGGTTTTCAGTTATTAAATTTTCGTTGGTTTTTGGTTGAACATAGATCAATATAAGCCACTGAACTCATATGTGGACTCCAAATTTACCTTTCTAACAATACCTTAAGCAAGAAAAAACACTCTAGAAACTTGTCAATAAAAACTATGACAAATGGATATTAAGATTTAGAATACATATAATTGGAGACATTTCAAAACATTTGTCATAATAATCCTTGCATGTGTGCATCAACTAGTATACTGAAGAGAGTAACTAACACGCACAGTACAATGTCAATTATTGTAAAACATTAATTTGTGTGTATTCCATTGTCTAATAACATGGAAACCATCCAACCAACATATATAGTAAATCAAGGACAAGGGAGCACATCTTATGCAATCGTTGTTTGCATAATTTGTGTGTATTCCATTGTCTAATTCACCTCATATAATAGTCAATTGTCATATTGCTATATCTATTAAGAAGAAATTACCCCAACTTTGTTGTCTCAAGTCTATGATTGTGTTGATGGTTGTGTTAGTGTTCCTACTAAGCGTTAATTTAATAATCAATCAATTGAGGTTAATAGGTCTAAAATTGGTTAAGTTTTCCTGGGAAGTATCAAAGACTACTGTGCCTAGTTAATCACTCCCACAACATTTTTGAAATTACTCCGCACTTGAAATTTTCACCATCTGTGTTAGCCATTTTCAATAGGGAGAAATTATAAATCTCATGAATCGCCCAGAGGCACCACCACAATATAGAACACAAACCTTTTGTCAGCGTAAAATTTGAGAAGGGCTAGATGTACTCAATTCTACCCTAGTATGTGGAGAAATTATTTACTTGGAACACATAGAATAAAATAAAATAAACTTACCCCGAAACCAATTGTCAAGAAGAAAAGTAGAATAACATATTACCAACCAATAGAATACCGCGCTCGAAGTGCAATGAGATGTGAAATATAACAAATGCTTCTTCAATATTGAATCCTTAATTCTCATTAAAATCACAGTTGCATTTGCACATATTTTACGTTGGAGGGGTGGGTCTTATTCATGATATATAGTAATAATCAAAATAGTAATAGAATTTGTTGACTGCTGTAATGAAAATGTGCTCAATCGGGATAACAACCACAAAGGTGTGCCGAATATGAGAGCAACCACTTCGTGTTTGTTATAACATCAAATACTAAGTATATTACTCAGTCCACCCCTCCCAACACCCTTAATTAAAAGGAACCAAAATGTGAAATGTTCTTTTTGGAACTAGGAATAAGATTTCTGACTTATTATGCGTTTAGTTGACATGCAAATCTCGTGGGAACAAGTGGATCAGAAAATTCTCCAATGTTGAGCATATCAAAAACAAGTTTGTTAGCTGCTTTGGTGTAGTGTCCTCCATCCCAAAATACTTTCACCGACGGGTCTGAGCACAAAGGAGATAATCCACATGGCTTGGAGCCGTTAAAATTGTATTTGCCTCCCCTAGAACCACAACACACCAAAAGTGGTGATTTAAAACCTACACATCATAGATGAAATATAATTGGAATTTCATCCCAAGGTAAGTGTAACTTGTTTGTGAATTTTAGTAATGTGATTGAAGTAAAATCGTTACCCATCCTATTCAACTAGTGAATTTACTTGACTTGGATATCTTAATGTTAGGAAAACTATAACTCGGAACATATTGATTAACAAATCGCCCCTCGCCCTTTGTTCGATCAACGAACTCAACTTAGGCAAATTAACAAAATCTTTTTATATTAGTGTATGTTTTGTTCAATCCGTTTTATTTAGTGAGACATATTGTAAGGGCTTACCATACTTTGTTGGCCACTTAAAGAATGAGTACTTGATGGAGTAGATGTCCACATAAGTGATACAAGCATCAGGTAATGCTTCTCTGAGAGCAAAAACTTCCTCCTTCAACTTTTGATTGTAATATTGAACAATGTCATTGTAAGGTATTCCATAGTCAGCACCATCAATTTGGTGTAGCTTTAGTTTCGCATGCAACAAAATATATGAAAGGCAATCAATTGGAGCTGCGTTATGGATCCAAAATGAGCGACCTCCCAAATCGTACACTCCCTACATTACCATAACATTATAATTAATACTTTGTATGAAAGCAGTGTTTGTTTTTTTTTTATTTCTTGATTAGGCATTGTAGGAATCTTTGCAGAATTGGATTATTTTTACTTGAGTTTGCAAGCCCAAGGATCAAGTGAACTAAAATTATGTTGGACAGAAGAATTAAAAGATTACCTGACCATGTTTGGATATCAATTTGGCTAAATCAGGCACAGTTGCATTAAATTCCTCTATAGTGGTGTCATAGAATCCAATACCGTAGTCGTTTTGGCTCATATTGATTGTTTATAAGGCTCGGGAAAAAGAGTTATTTGAGGGCATCAACTCTACAACCATACTTCCTATAAAAGCACAAACTCTCAGTTCATATACTTATTCTTGATAAGTAGACAGGCGAATCAATTTTCACAATATAACGAATAGAATCACCAACGAGCTTGTACATCGATTTCAACCAATGTAGGTTATATCAAATAGAATTATGCAAGTATAATTATACCTTGCTTCCTAATAGTCTTTGATCTGGGCATGAATTCAGAGAACTGTGTTAACTCGATATCCAAGTATAGTGGACTGAGTTTGAAATAGTCTTCTAGAATTCTTCCAAGTGGTTTGATTATGGATCCTCCCACTACAAAATTCGCACCTTGCTTGTAGTTGTAATCGGCCGCCAATGAATCCAGATAAGCATGGAGAAAAGGTAAGCGCAAATCTCTTGCTGAACATGAAATAATCAATCATTGAACTTGGTCGCACACTAAATTGAAATCTAACATGCATCCTTTAATACACCCGCATTTTATATAAATGATTAACGAAGTATTACTTGACATTTGGCGGGTGTGCTAGGGTTTTTCTAGCGATAACCTGTGTGTGAAGGCATTGTATAATTCCAAAAATTAAATATTTATCATGAACACAAAAGAATCAAGCCCGAAACATAAAGACCCATTAAGCTCAAAACTTAAACTGCATACTTAATACCCGCACTTCGTAAATATGCTCAACAAAATATTACCTATTTAAAATTCTCGTGAAAAAAAAATTCAATGACAAAATAATGAAAACACAACTTTAATAATCCAAAGTCCATAAATTTAAACTGGAAACCCATAAATTAAATATACTTCAAAATATATACCCAATTGGAATTCACAGTAGCACCAAACCAACGCCATTACAAGAAATGTTAATACACAAATGCAGCATTGGATGCTTTCCTCTTGGGCGATGTTTATAACAAAAAATACAAGAGATAGTTTTAACCATGAACATGCCACTAATGATGGTACATCAACATAGAAGGCAAACAAACCAACTCGACGAAGCTATTATGTTATAAAAAATTCAATTCAACAAAAAAGCCAACCCTACGAAATCAATGCAAACCAAGAACAATAAATACAAAAATACGAAAAAAAAACTTAGTTAAAAAAAATTCATTCTAGATATAAGTGACCACAACCACTAAAACATCTAAAAACCCACATCACTTAATTCATGTGTCTAATAATAATAAATATAATGTTCTCAAGAGCTCCCCTTTTTTACCAAAATAGAAAATATGTATAAAGATCCATACTTCGATACCTCCGGATATGAAAAATGGTTGAGAATTGTGAGAATGATTGGCGCGAATAGTCCAATTGCTCTTGTTGAACGTATACAACTATTGCATCACAACACTGTGAAGATTGGAAACTATTTTTTAGCGCTTCACTCTTCTCTTTGTCATCATGCCAATCCAATTTCAAGATCAACCGCTGTTAGACCATCCCAAACGCAAAATGAAACTATAATAAGAACAGTAAAAATATTTAGAGTATATCAACAGAGTCCAAATTAACAAAGCTAGGTCATTTGATATGAAATTTAGATTAGAGTATAAAAGAAACAATAAAAAATTTACACAGTAAAAACAAGAATAAAAAATTTAAAGTAGATCAATGGACATTTAGATTAGATCAACGAAGTCTAGCTCATATACATTTGTATACAAATGAATAGAAAATTTACCCAGTAAAATTAACCTAAGAATGTCACGTGAATCAATCTTAGACAACATTATCAGTAAGGGGTGTGCACATAGATTTAAATATACATGAATACAAAATCTACACAACCAAATTAATCTAAGAGTTAGATTAAATATACTTGTTAGAATTTAATGATGATACAAGAGTTGTTCATTTTATTGATAATGTGACTAAAAGTTGGAATGTTTAGTTGCTTCGGCTGAAATTTTTTGGAGTTTGAGGTTGAAGATATTTTGGCTATCCCAATTTGTGCATAATTACCGGAAGACCGTTTTATGTGCATTATACGAAATTTGGACATTTTTCAGTAAGTAGTTCTTATTATTAAGCTATTGAACAGAACTTGGTTGGCGCACAACATTACTCTAGATTCACAAGCAGAGATGCTGATCGATGGCTTGGTATGTTTATTTGGTCCTTGAAGGTGCCCAATAAAATTAAGAATCTTTCTTGGAGATTTTTTATTGATATCCTACCCACTTTGTGTAATCTACAAATGAGAGAATTCAAGTTATAAATGAATGTTCATGTGTGGAGATTATCATGAGTCTTCCCTTCACCTATTTTAATGATGTCCTTTTGCAAATCACTGGAATACATTTTCCTCAAAAGTGGGTGTCAAGTGTTCATCTCAGAAAATTATCAGCAGGTACAAGCAGCCTTGGTTGTTGTAGTAAAATAAAAAATAAAAAAAAATGGTTGTTGTTATAGCATGGGTCATCTGAAACAAAGTAAGGGTGGAGGAATGTTCAAGATCTCCATTGGAAGTTGTCGAGTTCTCAAAAGATTATTTCCGTTAGTTCTCAAAAGTAAGGGTGGAGGAATGTCCACGTTTAATCTTATCATTTGTACAATATTTCGTAGAAGGCCCTACCGGCAGGAATATGTAAAATTAATTTTGATGGTGTTGTATTTACCTCTTGTGGGTACTCTGGTGTGGGTGTGGTCATAAGGAATAGCGGTGAACAATTTCTAGCAGGATTTAGTCAGAACTTTGTTGTGCAATTAAGTGCAAATAATGTGGAAGTTCTAGTAGCTTTTATTGCTGTGCACCTGGGGCATGATCTTGGATATGAGAAAATAGTGCTTGAAGGTGATTTCAAAGTTGTAGTTAATGTTATTCAGAATAAATAGTGGATTTATCGAAACTTGGTAGTTTTATGGAATAAATTCGAGCTTATGAAACCAAATTTAATTCCTTTTTAGCATGTTAGACTCGTAGGCTAGGAAATGAAGTTACTAATTGTCTATCTAGGTTTGCACTAAATTGTATTGTTCCAATTTTGTAGAAGGAGGAGGAGATTCCCTCGTTTATGTTGTCTTTCCTCCATTAATGTTTTCTATTTAATGAAATAGGTATCGTTTTACTTTGGGAAAATTTTTTTTTTTTACCAATTTTAGGTTCGTACCCATATGTCGAATTCTCAAATGTCATATATATTTTTTAAACAAAATGTCATTCTCCATTCACTGATTATGGTGTTCTATTCTCTAAAATATGATGATTTTTAGTATTATTTAATTCTTTTAGATTGGGATAGTAGTTTAACCCAATAGAAATAAGGGACGAGACATGAACTCCAGTACTTTTGAAACAAAATGTGTACCTACATATTATATTTGGTGATAATATTTTATAAGTAAAAAGTAATTCCTACTTTACAATGGTATCCATAACCCTTCTTTCAAATATTAGTTTATCCGGTAAAGTTTACTAAATATCTTAAATAAATAATAAAAACAGAATAGCAAAGTAAACATAATAATTGTACAAGAAATAAATCGTATTTTTTCAAGCAAAAATTGATGAACAATTTTGCCAATAATTGTACATTCACCTGCACAATTTTGCCAATAAAATCAAGCATATGTTCTTCATCTTTCAAAATTTTGGTTCCAGATCTCAAAAGGATTATCTCTCTCACTCTCTCGTGTTCAGTTATCCAATTTTGAAAATTTCATAAATTCATATTTTTTATCAGATCAAGATATTTGAATGTTTTAGATATATATATATATATATAGACACACACTTGGGTTCTTTTGCTTGAAAGACATAATTATGAATCAATTCAAAATGTTTTTTATTCATGAAACTTATCGAATATTTTGACTATCATCTATTCAATATCGACAACAAAAAATCTTCAAAAAAGATTAATTTATTTGTGTTGTAAACTTTATTTTTTCATTAATCTTTTGTTTGGACTTTATCTATTTTAATAAAACTTTGATTTTCATTATATAACATGAATTTATTTGTATTATAAATTTTTTGTTGATGATATTTTAGGTGAATTAATTTGTTTTAATAAAACTTTGATTTCGATGATTCTTTTGTTTTCACTTTTTATGTGGTTTTAATAAGTTTTAGATTTCAAAACTATCTCAGGTCAATTTATCTGTATTAATAAACCTTTGATTTTCTTACATGCAACATGAATAAAATTTTGATTATTCTATTTTGGATATTTCTGTTTTTATAAATCTTAGATTTTCAAAACTATTTCAGGTCAATTTATTTGTATTAATAAAACTTTGATTTCTATTATATAAAACATGAATTTATCTATATTATAAAGTTTGTTTTTGATGATATTTTAGGTAAATTTATTTGTTTTAATAAAACTTTGATTTTTATTATACGTAACATGAATTTATACTAGTTATAAACTTCGATTTTCATAATTTTTTGTTTTGAATTGATTTGTTTTAATAAGTCTTAAATTTTAAAAATTATTTTAGGTCAATTTATCTGTATTAAAAAAACTTTGATTTCTATTATATGTAACATGAATCTATTTGTATTAATATAAATTTAATTTTCATTATATGTCACATGAATATATCTTTACTATAAAATATAATTTCTTTCAGAATGATTTCATTGTATAATCAAAAGAAGTCTGATCATTGTGGTAATCAGATTTCAAATTAGATGAATAAATATGACACAAAAATTCTCTAAAAATAGTAAAAAGAAAAGGCATTAAATAATATATTTATCAAATATTATGAATGTATGTATGATTGTGTACGCGTCTGAGAGAAAAAAATTCAGTAAATGCGTTAATGGAAGAAATATGGAAGAGACAAAATTAGGAAGATGACTTTTTTATTGGAAAATGTGGATTTAATGCAGAATAATGGTCTAGGCAAAAAAATGTCAGGCATGCAGAGTCAATATAATTTTTTTGATCGGATAAACCATTGACCAAAAAAGTGTGACAGCTGATGCCA